TTTTGTATCGATACCCGCCCAAATGACTCTAGTTTCGATACAAATTTTTGATACTTTGACAACCCTTACTTTTTTACACTGAACCCAATTTTTGTTCCATGTATTTGAGCAACATTTCTCTTACCACAATTCAACTACATTGTATAAGCAGCTTTTGATGTCAAAATAAGTCAGCTGTGTACTGTCTGCATCTAATTATAAAGCATTTTATTGTCTGATAATAAGGAAGTGCGTGTTAGCATGCTGGTAGTATTGCCCTGGTCTCTGAGACTTGTGAAAAGTGCTATAAAACTTGTGGTGAATAATTAGGATGCTCTGAATGCACAAGGAAAGTGAGGAATAACTTTGAACCACTGCAAACTACTATTCTGTGACACGTTTTTAAGATGGTACAAATCGTGTACAGTGTCTTTAAGTCCACAAGTGATTTATGAGCTGTGTGACCGAAGCTTTATGATTTGAACATTTGTGTTTCTTGCGCCGCTCCTCCAGATACGATTTAGCTACACATTTTTGTGTCTACCCATTGAAAACATCAGATTTTAACATTATTTAATATTTTGTCCTTCAGATTACATTAACTTCAAACTAGATCAGAAATTATGTCCAAACTATCTCTTAATTACTTTTATTTGAGTAGTATGTCCAAACATTTGACTCTGATAGTGTTAAATTTGATGGTAGAGCAGCTTGCTAAAACAAAGTTTCAAATGTTTTCATGATCTAAGATTGAACATACAAAAGTGTTCATTCGTCGCTTTGATGCCTTCATTGAGATACTACAGTATAAAAGTCATGAAAGTAAAGAAAACATGTGGAAATAGTTGACTCTGGTAGTGGAAAATTTGACCACACTCTTAATTATTTTTACTTGAGTAGTTGTCTCCCCAAATACGTTTTTACTCTTGAGAAATTTCTTGGACATCTACCTCTGCTGAAGTAGTAGTATTCTGAAGTATCTTGTGTACAATTTTAACTACTCTACTACTTTATCTGATTTGTAGAAATAACCTCGCATGACATTGTGTCAAAGATTGTGGCAGATTAACTGGTTCAGTATCTTCAAGTGCCCTCAAGATGACAAGATAGGACACGTTTAGTGGCACAGAAGAGTTTAAAGAGTTTAATACACTTCTGCTGGGTGGTTAAAGCTGCTCTATGTAACTTTCTGATTTGTGGGGACTGCTTGTTTCCATAGAGATTTTATTGTTTTGCCTGGAGATTCACATTATAGCTTCAACTTATCCATCATGCAGTTTGGGTTTGTGTTTTTTATTGGCTCTAAAACAGTGTTTCCCAAACTTTTTTTGGGGGGAACCCATATTTTAAAAATCACAAATCTTCACGACCCAAGTCAACAGACATTATTCATAAATCACAAAATAAATTTATGACCATTATTGGACATTAAGGAAGATATTTTATTGTTGACTGAGTGATCGTGTCTCTCTGAACAATTAGGAAATAAAAAAGTCTCACGGTAATACTAAGACGAGGACTCCAATATCGATTGAGTAATAATGTGATTAATGCAGCTTTGCACACATTTGTTTACATTTTACAGAAACAAAACTTAAAACCACATGGCTCATTTGCATAAACTGTAAGCGATAAAAAGAACAGCTCGCTCCTTATGCGCTGGTGCAGTTCAGCTTCTGTTGCACTAAAGAACATGACTCAGTGGAATATGTGTGAAAATTGGTTCGAGTTCAGTAAGCACAACCAGAATTAATAGATATATTAGAAATAATACCGGATTATAAAGCACACTGTCGATTTTTCAGAAAATTAAGGGATTCTGAGTGTGCCTTAGAGTCCAAAAAATACGGTACTCAAGTTTTAAACAAGGAAAAACAGTAATCAATGTTTCCCACAGAAAATTGGTTAAGCAAAGTAATACCTTGAAAAACATGGGGGAAGTGCCTCTCCGCAGATCTTCCTTGGCCTTGGCGCTCCTATTGTCTCCATGGAGATTGCTGTCAAATCAGGATTAAATTCACACCAAAAACAGAAAAAGAAGACTGATATAGGAAGCTGCAGTAGCGCTGTTGCTAAAGAAACAAAACTTTTACGCAACAAAACCTTCAGTTACTACATTTTTGCAGTGTGTTGCATGTTTTTCAGTCTGATAATTGCCAATGTCTAAATATTTGTAAAGCTGTGTACTTTGCCCAGCCTGCAGCTCTCTTATTTACGATGTTTGCCTGGGTGGCCTGGAGAAACCTCGGGGGGAAGGGAGTGGGAAACAATTAGCATTAAACATAGACAGTAAAGATCAAATCATTTGTTAGCAAAACATTTACACCAGTCCTTAAAAATGTCCATTAGTTCCATTTAAAAGCAGAAAGAGACAGATCATAGACTTCTCTCCGGTTTATGAGACTTCTGAGCCAAGTCCCAATCGTTAGCAGCAGCAAATGGAAATGACACGAGGCCGAAGCGGGACCTGGCCTTGAGCTCCGAGCCTGATGAGCTGTGAGGAGCCAGTGTTGTATCTGGAGGGAATCTTGTTGTGGAAGTTGGCTGAGATAAGCTCTGGTGAATAATGAATGAATAAAAGTCTACAGCTCTAAATAGTTCGTTTGTACTTGACATTTGAAATAAGAAAATCAAGTAAACTGTCGTAGGAAATGACTAAACCACAGGGATTCTGCAAAATTCCCGCACATTTCAGCGTACACCATGTAACTTTTCATCTGGAGAGTCCGTCAATTTCTTGTTTCTATGGAGATGTCATTGCTCTGCCTGGAATGTGCCACCTACTTTGGTTTTATAGCTCAAAAATACCTAGAAAAACAACATTTTGACTGTGAACGGGGTCGCCTCTCTCACACATCTGACCTGTAACTTGGTTTGGTTTGGTCTCCACGATGATTGGAAGGTTTGATCAGGGTTCCCACGTTCATGGAAAGTGTCATTTACCAGGCCTGGAAAAGTCATGGAATTTTAGTATGTCTTTCACGCAACTACAGTGGTGCCTTGTGTATTGTGGGGGATCCGTTCTAAAAATAACCCACAATAGGCAAAATCCTCAAAGTCAGTTTATATTTTACAATTATGATATCAGTTTTAAGGCTGTAAAACCCCTCATCACACACTTTATACACTTTTGCATCCTTCTTAAACCTTATTGCTGCTGTCGTTCTTTTGTTATTTTCCTCCTTCTTTATGTAACAAACCGAAGATTAATTTATTCCTGTAATGGTGCCTACAGCCTTCTACAGTAACTTCTACCTTCCTTCAGCGTGTCCAGAAGTCCCAACTTTTTGTGCCATTGTTTGCATCTTCCTCTGCCTTTTGGGTGCGACCGCAGGAGCTTTTGTTGGCGCAGAAAGTTTCGTCGACATTGTGGGTTTTGTCCGGGGATAACTTGTAAACATACAGCACTTCAGAATCACACTGCTAGAGATCGAACATTTATGTAAATCTGGAAAGCTGAACACATCTGTACTGTACAGGGACACGGAGGAGATTGACTGACAATGATCTACAATCCCTCAGCCAATCAGGACGCAGAGGGAGGAACACAATGCACGTTCATACGCTGTAAGAAAAAAGCATGCCAAATTGTACAAAAACAAATCCACGAAACAGTGAGATCGCAAATGATGAACCACGTTATAGTGAAGGACGACTGTACAGCGTTCTGTTAAGTTCTCATGAGACTATTATGATTATTTTTGAACGTCTGCGCCTTTTGTTTAAAAGAGACGACAATAAATGCACTGACAGTATTTTGAACGTTAAAAAACTATAATCCCAAACTATAAAGTGAGTGGAAAGGGTTAACATTTGATATTTAGTCCTAAAAGTCTGATCAATTCTACACATGTAGGTGCCGTAAAGTCATGAAAAATTCACTTTAGGTCATGAAAAAGTCATGGAAAAGTTTTTAAATTTTGCCAGTGAAAAAGAGTGGGAACCCTGTTTGATGCCAGACTGTGAAACATTACAAACAACGCAATGACATCTCCGTGAAAAGCATTTGACAGACCCTCCACCGGAAAAGTTACGCAATGCGCTTTTAAACGACATGTTTCTGAGGAGATTAAATGTTGTGAGGCGAGTTGACGTGTCCTTTATCTCTCCTATCCTCTCCTGTCGTGCAAACTCAGCTCCGCACAGTCACAGCAACAACAAAGAAAAGGTTTTGAGTTATAATTTTTCCGTGTAAAGCTAATTTGAACTAAAAAAAAAAAAAAAAAGCACCATGGGCGAAACCTAGGCCACAAAAAAGCAAACACATTTTGTCTGTTTTGCTGCTCATAGCTTTGCCTCAGGGCCACTCAGTCAGAATCCTTCGGCCTTTTCACTCGCTCCCTGTGCACTTTCGCATTCATTTAAATTCTTTTATTTGATTTTAAATGTCTTCATTGTGTGTGCGCCTCAGTGTCTGTCTGATCTGCTCATTTCTCCTTTTAAGAACTTTGAAAAGCCTTTGATACTGTTATAATATGAAGAATTAATATTTAAAAGTTCTTCATAACGGTTGTTTCTTCATGTAGTCTGCACTGACAACAGCAAAGGATCATGGTCTACGTAGTTCCTTGTGTTTTTTAGCTACTGCTGCACCATCGCGAGGCAAGACGAGTTTATTTGTAAAGCACAAATCATACACAAAGTAATTCAAAGTGCTTTACAGAATAAAAAAGACATTAAAATCACCTTAACTATTCATTTCAGCGAAGAAACTTGGTCCACGATATTATTAAGACTTTTGACGATACGATATTACGATATTTCCAATCTGATATCTCTGTTCTCCACGTCCCAAAGACCAAGAGAAAACCGCGAGAAGATGGAGCGTTTTTGGAATAAAACGATGATCTCCATTCTTTCACCTGCTCTAATATAGTTCCATCGGTGGTTATACGAAACATTTTGGAGGAATTATCCGTTATTTTGCGATGTTTTCTTTGCATTTAGCGAACGATTCAGTCAAGAACACACCTTTTCTACATTTTAAAAGCGTCTAATTCTACATTTTCTTCTTTTTTCAGGGCCACTTTTATCACAATCTAACCGCCACGTTGAGCCATGAGCGCCAAGTCGGTCATCAGCAAGGAGGTGTTCAGCCCTCACGACGAGAAGATGCTGGTGGCCTGTCAGGTCAAACGTCGCACCAAGAAGAAGATCCCTTTCCTGGCCACGGGCGGTCAGGGCGACTACACCACCTTCATCTGCCTCTCAGGTCAGACTCCGCAAAGACTTCTCAAATCTTCGCATTTCAACCCGGTGCGCATTAAAGGTTGTATGGAGGATTTTTTTTTGTTTCAAATTGTCAATGATAGCATTATAGAGGTGCAGTAGCCTTGTAATTATGATGACCAAAAAAAAGAGAATAAAAATTCATCAACTCTGGACGTGGTGGGGCTAAACATTTGCCAATAGATAACGACACTGCCTCGTTATCTGTTAGCTGACAGGCTGTCAATCAATCTCCCTACGTTTCTAGCGTAACTGACTTGCCTGCGCCGCCGGTACGTGGTTTACGTACGACTGTCACGCAGTCCACAGACGCAAGCCGCACAGACGCTGTTTACTCCACCAACGCAACAGTTCTTAGCGGCTTTTTTTGACCTATATCTTCCTCGCAGTTCGCACAAAGTTTGTTGCAATGGCGACAAGAATCCAGGAGCAGTTCGCCGCAAAAGAAAGTCCGTTTTTGAGGTCGCTGAAAGAAGAAGACAAGGGGAAAAGCAGCGAAGCCAAACTAAGGTGATTCTTGAAGATTCATTCCAGCGATGGCGCGACTGAAGCAGACGCAGGGTCTAAAGACTGACGCACTGGTCCACAAATTACTCCTGGACAGGAAACTTCTGCTTATTATGAAAACGTACTTTATTTCCAAGAGCGAGACAAACGTTTTTCAGGACACGAAAGCGATGTCCTATGTCTGAAAACGTAATTTTCAGTGCAAAGAAAGAGTCCGCTTGCTGCTGCGTGTTGTAGCTAGTTCATTCGCACTGAATCTCCGCGCAACCTTCTCTGCACCCCTTTCCTGCTCCTGTCCTCCGCTCTTCCCCTGCTCCCCTCACCGCGCTCTTCCCTCTCCTGCTCTTCCCCTGCTCCTCACTTCTCCGTCTTGCCTAACCAACACTGTAGTTAGTTGTTTACAAGTCATGTGCAGCGCACCGGCTGTAAACAAACCTGTTTCTGGCGTAAAGAGGAGGCGGGAGGAGGCGTTTCTACGTAGGAGCTGTAGGGGAGGGGGGGTGGTTTCACGCATGCGCAACATTTGAAAAAGGACAAACAGTCGCTGGATTTCTCGTTCCTTGGAAAATCCTCTATACAACCTTTAAGCCTTAGGGATGTAGCGATATCGGAATCTCTCGGTACGATATTTTCACGATATGGATCTCGAGATATGATATTTGTTGAGATATTTTGTCGAAACTAACAAAAAATTTAACTATACTACTGTTTCCTTCCAAAAAAATGCCTTGAAGAGCCTTTATTTGTGTCTTAAAACAAAGACCTAAGATTTAAAAGTGGTTATAACAGTTATTTCTTCACGAAGCAAAGGATCATGGTCTATGTAGTTCCCTTTTTTACTGCACCATAAGAAGGAATTTTGATATATTGTGTTGTGAAAGCAATAACGAAGGAAGAAAAAGAAAGAAAAGAAAGAAACAAAGGCGGCTCTGGCTTTTTGAACTCACTCGTGACTTTATTTAGTCCGTCAGTTCTGGACTCACTCCTCTCGTTCACTGTGGTTTTCCTCGAGGTTTCTCTTTTTCCTACTGTTTTTTTTCCTTGCTGAGTAGGAGGGTTTAAGGACAAGGGTTATTCTGGGACAGTTCTACACGTGCTTGTTTTCTATGAATGTACCTAATCTGTTCTGTCTGGTATTGACCAATGTCTGTTTCAACGTTTGATTTTCTAACTTTCCCTTGGTTAAATTAAGCAATCTTGTTAAAGCAGACCTAGAAAAAACTGCAAAATTGAGTTTTTTCAGACTTTTTCACCATGTTATAGTTGTTTGTCTTCCTTATTTACACTCTCGAAGTTGTATTTGGTGGTGATTCATGCATGTTTGAGTAATATTTAATCGCTTATTGTCAAAATGCCATTTTGATGATCTACCCGTGTTTTCGCGCCATCAGTACACGCCCACTGCTCTGTAATTACTTCGTTCTCCAATTTTGTTTTCTTAATCGGTGATACGTGTAGGATTCAGCAGCGTCATGTAGTCATTTTGGTACAAATGAACAAAAACAAATCCTTTACTTACTCAGTGTAATGTGCAGCTATCCATCGGAAGTGCTGACATCTGCACGGCGCTTTGTTGTGTTGATGTTTACACCAACATCAGCTCTCAATGGCAGTTTTCTAAGGCGGAAGTTTCAATTTGTTTCTTTTATTAAGTCATTTTAGTAATTTTTTTGAATATTGGTGATTTTAAAGGTCTAAATTATAACATAATGATCTACGGGTGTCACAGATTATAACTATATAGCAGAAACAAGCGCTTCTTTAAAGGTGCAGTCTGTAACTTTTCTGCTGGAGGGTCCGTCAAACGCTTTTCTTCATAGAGATGTTATTGCTTTATCTGGAAGCTTTCACTTTCTATCTTCATGGAGACCAAACCAGACCAAGTTACAGACCAGATCTGTGGAGAGGCGACCCAGCTCACAGTCAGAATGTTGTTTTTGTAGGTGTTTTTGAGTTATAAATCTATAATATTTGATAAATGTCATACTGCGGAACATTCCAGGCAGAGCAATTACATATCCACAGAAAAAAGTAGGTGACGGACTCCCAACCGAAAAGTTACGCAGTGCAGCATTAAAGGTTGTATAGAGGATTTTTTTAAGGAAAGAGAAATCCAGCGACAGTCCTTTTTCAAATGTAGTGCACGCGTGACACCACCTTCCTCCTCCACAGCTCCCTCTAGAAATAATTTAGAGACCGACACCTCAGTTTTTAGACCCTTCGTCCGCTTCAGTCGCGCCATCGCTGGAAGGAATCTCCAAGAATCACCTCAGTTTGTCTTCGCTCCTTTTCTCCTTCTCTTCTTCTTTCAGCGACCTAAAAAACTGACTTTCTTTTGCGGCGAACTGGTCGTGGATTCTCGTCCGCCATTGCAACAAACTTTATGTGAACTGCGAGAGAGCCACAATTAGAAAAGCCTCCAAGACCCGCTGCATAGTTACCTTAGAAACGTAGGGAGTTTGATTGACAACCTGACAGCCAATAGAAAATGAGGCAGCCTCGTTTTCTATTGGCTGATGTTTATCTGGCCTCAACACGTCCACAGTTGATAGATTTTCTTTCTTTTTTTTTGGTCATCATAATTACAAGGCTGCTGCGTCTCTGTAATGGTGTTTTAAACTTTCATTGACAATTTGAAACTAAAAAAAAAATCCTCCATACAACCTTTAAGCCCTAAGAGGTGACTGCTGTTGTGATTTTGGGCTTCAGCAAAAAAATGTATTTAAATTTAGCAGCTTGGACCTTCACATTGGAGACATGCTCATGTCTGCCAACAGTAGTGTCATTAACACTTCCAGACCAATGATATAACCGCACATAACTTTTCAACCATTAAAGATTAGGGCTGGGTATCATTAAGAAGTTGCTGATACGATACATTCCTTGATACAATGCGCTTTTGTTTTGATATGATATATTTCACATAGATTCAATACAGTTCAATAAAAAATAAAGGCTAAATCATGGCTGTGATAGTAAAAGTCTTTGTTAAACCGCTTCTTATGCGAAGTGAATATGAAAAACAAACATTTTAATCATCAAAACAGTGAAAATGTCAAATGTGACACATAAAAGAGTTTTCTTCCTCAAAAACAAAACTGGAGCTCTGCAACAAAATAATATGCCACAAAATACTCTTGATCGACACAGCAGCCCACGATATCAAAACTGTATCATCACATTTTGCGAGACGATATATCGATATTTTTGATATTTTTGCACACCCCTGTAAAAGATAGAAACTTACTTTTTTTCCCTTGGCAAACTTCATTATACCTCATTATAATGCACAATTTTTTGTTTTGTTTTGTTTTTAATATATTTATTCTCTGTTTTTCCTCATTGTTCTTGAGACATGCACATCTCTGTTTATGTGAATTATGAAAACTTGTCTTATTAGTTGGGTCGTCTACTAGATAACCAGAACTGGAAGTAGTTTTAGTTTTTTGCTAGTACAATTAGATTTTTGTTTACATCCATTACATATGATTATTATTATTTTTCTTATGTAAACTACTCTCATTCATTAGTGGCACTGTGGAAACTTACTTTTTTTCCCTTGAAAAGCTGAGAATTCTGGCTTTCCGAGCATATTTCCGGCAGTATCCTACGTCACGTCATCACATGTGTCCAATATGAACTTCGATTTCCACCAAACACATGTGCACCATCCATTTTGATTGGCCCAAACTTTGCCAAAGAGTGTAGTGAGTCAAAATGGTCGATTGCTCTGAGCGTCTGTGTTTGTAACAATTGAAAAAAACGCTCTAACTGCAGTTATTTCTCAAACAAATGGCAAATTACGCATCTTGGTCTGTGTAATTGTGCGTCCCTTGCTATTTTTATTTCATTCACTTATTTTATATCACCCAAACTGTACAAATCCAAATGTAATAAACACCATGGAAAAGCAGGAAGTGATGTGGCTCTGTGCCCTGGACCTGACACGAGCTGTTTCCAAAGTCATGGGGCGATTGCAAGTTTTTGTTTGTTTTGAGTCAATAAGGATATTTTTAGTTTACTTACAGACTTGATATTTTGCACTTTTGTAGCTAAGGCCCTAAATTAACAATTTTTTTATATCCAAAAAGTAGTTTGTACATGTTTGCTGTTTGTTTTGTATGAAAGAGTGTGAATGTTATTTTCCATTTTTTGTTTTTTATCATTTGTATTTCTGGTCCTGTAGCTTTTTTTTTACACCCATATGATACAACTACAGCAGCAGATTGTGAAATAACAGGTTGTACTGGAAAAAGTATCGCTCAAAAAATCCAGGCGAGGATAAATCTACTAAAATTGCCTTTAGGTCTTAGGGTTAACATCCGATTTGTCACAATTTTCCCTCATATGTCCGTTCTAATTCCATGTCCATCCTCCACTAAACCTTACATTTTCTTTCAATTATGGTGTGAAAATGAAGCGCAACGTTGGGAGACATTAGTTTCGACCGCAGAGTGAAATGCCAGGAATTTAAAG